TCCCTGAGGGCAGGTTCTGGAACGGCAGGTATTGGCAGCCTTCAACGGGCAATCAGACGAGGACCTGAAGTGATGATCGCTCAAGTGGGAAGCGGCACGGCGGATACAGCAGTAAGAAGGCGAAGGTCGGACTGTTGCAGGTGGCGACCGAGTCGGGTGAAGAGTCAGAACCGAGGAAGCAGCACCGTCTCCGAAGCAGAAGAAATGGAAGGCCTCAGTGCGGCAAGCGACCGGCAGGGATCGGCCGACGACAGTAAACAGTGACGAGCGACGAAATTGGGGACCCATCAGGTGCTTTGCCTGTGGTGGCGAGGGCCACATGGCACGGGAATGTACGAACGCAGAAGCAAAGGCTCGTAACGACGTGTATCTAGCGGCCCGCGCTGAAGCGGAAGCCAAGAAGGCGGAAAACGAGAAACGGGCGTAGTCGGGGGATGACTGCGTCCAATAAAGAACTCGGTTCCCCGGACGACGGCGCCAAGAGAGGTGAAGGGTGACGAGCAGACGGTAACAGTGAACAGCAACAAGACCGACGGGAGCAACGAGGCTGCGGTGGAGGCGGCTCGGGCTCATTTGGAGACAGAACTGACGGAGAGGAACGCTGACCAGGCGCGCAGGAACGTTGTGATGGTGACGGCGGCGCTGTATTACGTGCGGCCGGTGGCTGAGGAAGGCGGCGAGCGACATATGCCCACGGACGACGCAGTGACTGAGGAAGGCGGCAAACAGGGCGAAAACGGCGGCACGAGTGGTGGCGACACTAATAACACAGAAGTCCGGAACCCGCCGAAACCGTGCAGGGAGTGGACGCAGCGACTACAGAGGTCAGTGTGGCTCAAGTGCGCGCTGTTCGACGGAAAGCGAAGAAGGAGATAAAGCGGCGACGGGTACTAAACGCGTAGAGGAGAGCAAGGACGGCGAATAGTGCTGGCGATGAGGTGGACGCAGCTATTGCGACACTGGACGCTGCACAACTGGATAGGCGACGACGACAGTCTGAGGCGGCGAGAGCCTCACTGGCTCAGCGACGGCAACAGTATCGTGGGATGCAAGTGTATTCGATGGACGAACGTGCTAGGGTGCGACTAGTGCAGCGCACACAGGAACCAGCAGCGGGTGCAACGCTGGATCCCGACGTGGAGGCGGACGTCCTGGCCGAGGATGAGCTGCCGACGGCGACGATGATGGTTGAAGGCGAGCGGTTGCCCGTGAAGCTTGACAGTGGTGCGCATTACTCGGTGGCGGGTGTAGACTGGATGCTGCGGGGCGAGAAGCTTCGTGAACCAGCACCGGTGGACCTCGTGGAAGGTATTGGTGGGTTTGCTCTTGATGTACTCGGACTATGGGCGTTCGAGATGCGTAACGTATTTGGGCAGACGATCACGGTGAAAGCATGCATCATTGACGGATGTACGGACGAGTTTCTGGTGGGAGTGGACTTCCTAAAGCAGAACAAGGCGACGATGGACTTCACGCGCAGCGAAGTGCGTTACTACACGAGAAACGAACAGGAAGTGATCCCTTTTAGGACCGACGATGACGATAGCGGTGCCAAAGTAGCAGCGGTGCGGCTGATGCGCCGGACTTGACTACGACGGAGCGCAGTGACGCCGGTGGAGGTGTCAGCTGCAGCCTCGGATGGTGAAGAAGGACTGTTCATACCAACGCAGACTTGTGGGGCTGTAATGATGGCCACAACGCTGACGCGGGTAAAGAACGGGAAGGCGTTGGTGCCGGTGGTCAACACACACGGAGGTCGAGTGAGACTGCCTGACAAGCGCGACTTAGGCACGTGGATTCCGCTGGAAAAGAGTATGCGAGTACTGGAAATGGGCGGCGCAGTAGATCGCGACAAGTTGGATGAGTGGCTAGCTACTCTTGGTGACAGCGAAACACCGTTGAACAGCGAAGATGAAGTTGTAATCAAGACGGAAGACGATGGTGCTCGGGCGCTGATACTGCAACAGCTGAGGGCGTGCCGGAAGGTGTCAGAGGATACTGGTGATTGTCCGCCTATGACAAGACTGAATGTCCAGCACCATATCGACACGGGAAAGGAGTCTCCGCTGATGCTGAAGCGACGACGACAAGCTCAGTCAGAAGACTTCATTATCGAGGAGAATGTTACGAAGATGCTGCGTGCTGGGGTGATTGAAGCTGGTGACGGTGCCTGGGGATTCCCAGTCGTTCTGGTACGCAAGAAGGACGGAGAAGTACGTTTCTGTGTGAACTACCGAGCATTGAACAAGATTACGAAGCGAGACGTCTACCCGCTGCCACGGATTGACGAGACACTGGAGGCGTTAGGAGGCGCCAAGTTGTTTACGACGCTGGATCTGAAAGCTGGATACTGGCAAATCGGAGTAGCGCCTGAAGACCGTGGCACGACGGTGTTTACTACAAAGCAAGGGCTTTATCGGTTCGTGAGAATGCCTTTTGGACTGATGAATGCACCGTCCACCTTTCAACGGATGATGAACGGTGTGCTACGCGGGCTGACGTGGTTAACCTGCTTGGTATATCTAGATGACATCGTGGTGTTTACGCGTGGCGGTATGGAGCGGCACATTGTGGAGTTGGCGACAGTCTTGGAGCGGTTGTCGTCCGCAGGCCTGACCCTGAAGCTGAAGAAGTGCGTTTTTGCAGCGAAGTCCATGGAGTACTTAGGACATGAGTTAAGTGACGAAGGCGTGCGACCGGTGCAGCGACTAGTAATTGCGGTGACGGAGTTTCCGCGACCTCGTGACCCAGTGGGGTGAAGAGGTTCGTGCATTTGGCGGGCTATTACCGGGAGTTTATCGAGGCATTCGGGTCGATTATGGCTCCGATGACGAGACTACTCAAGAAGGGACGTTGACTTCGGAGTGGACTGAAGCGCAGGGAGTTTGCATTTGAGAGGGTAAAAGCGGCGATGACTACAGCTCCGCTGCTAATCTATCCGGACTTTACCTCTCCCATTTCGAGTGGTGACAGACGCCAGTGCGGTCGGTCTGGGCGCGTGTCTTATGCAGGACCCAGG